TTATGTGTACTCCAAGTCTCCCACTCGTCCCGTGGAACGCCCTTCCTTCCAAGAGGCGCCCTCCCGCGCAAACTGACGTGCCGTGCCGTGCCCTGTTTGCCCGTCCTGGTGGCTAGCGCTCCCTGGGGCTGCCTTTAGCAGGAGTGGGGGGTGGCAGCCGTTACTCCTGGCCCCGCCCACGCCTCGTCAGCTACCCTAGTGAGAGCTGCCGGCTCCCGGCGGGTCTCTGCGCTCCCCTGTGGGTTCCCCGGCTCAGGAAACCCCCCTGTACGCCACGATCCCCCGCTCCGCTGTGGGACGCGCCTGCACCGGAGCTGATCGTCTCTGCGAGTGGTGGTTGGTGGCGGTTACATGCCTTATGGTATAATGAAAATGGGCTATTTATTTTCTTCATATTCCTTTTGTCATGGAACACATGGCAACGATCTGTCTCCCCGTACTTTGATAGCCTCTTGTGAGACTATAAAATGGTATAAATAAACTAGTTGTTCATCTAGCGCTTCAGCATACTGAAAGAATTTTAGATAGAAAGACCGTTTTTCTTTTAATGGCCCTGCTGTTTACACTTAGTCATATGATTTGCTCGATACTTCAGACTGTAGATTTATGTGCTATCAAGTGAAGGAATTATTTGTCTAATCTCAGGAAACTGAAGTCTACCTAAATATAAATCTGACTTACTATTTTGCAGTCCTTTGGAATAATACTCTTGCTTAATGAGATTGTGCATGATTTTGTTAATAGTTCAGCTATTTCACTGCTAAATTCCTTCTATTAGCTCATGATGGATGTTCTGTTTTATTTAGAAGAATGAGCATTGCATTCATTAGGCAAACTTCATTAAATTTGGAGCTCAATCAACTAGAACTATAATTATATGGAGAGGAAACTTCCTAATCTGACATTTGTAAAACTGAGCCCTTTTGGAATCAGTTATTATCTTATGCAACATGACCAACTGAGCCTTTGTATTGAACAGAGACAGACCCTGGGAGGAGTGCCTTCAGCTAGGAGAAGTGTTATTTTCTATTATAATTTAATTGCTTTATAGCCTTTTTCACCACAGTGAGACATCTGCTCTCTTTGTATCCGGAGCAATAATAGATCAGACTGGTTGAGGTGGTAGTAAGCAGTATATACTCCTCTAAACTATTATCTCATTGTTTAGAGTTACTTTATTACTTTTCAAATTACACCTTCTGCAGTTTAAGTCCATGAAGACTATCCTCTTGTCCTTTAAGGCAAAATTTATGGATCTTAGCATGGCTATGAAAGGGAAAAAACATACTCTATTATGAATGGAAAATGACTTCTCTTTCTGACTTCAGACTGAATGATTTGTATCAGCATCAGGAGGGGCAAGTACAGCTGCCTATCCATTGTAGTCTGTTTTCCCTATAGCACCACGTGTGACTAATGCAGGCCAGTGATGTTTGAACACTTGCTGTTTCTTCCTGCTTTAGATTTCAGCTGCTGCTGTGCTGGTAGTGCAGTGCATTTTAAGATGGAGGAAGACAGCTATGACCAACATCATTGCCTGTTCTGGTTAGGTTGTGAACCTCAGCAGATACAAAAGAATTCAGCAGGTGTTATTTAGGAACAAATTAAGAATGACATCCTCTCCACATAGTCCTCCAAGAAAGAAGCTGAGAGCAATTAATGAATTTTACACTCTAACCCAACCTAGTGTAGCCCACAAATGGGTTTAAGTTGTACCTATCTTGAGCATGGGGCAGCCAAGGTGTTATGTTAAGTCTATTGTCCTCTGTGTTGCCTTATGTCCAGCTCTGCCCTCTATTCTTGTAGGCACAAGACTTCTGGGTATGAACTCTGCATTTTGGACTCTTCCCCCTCAGTGCCCAGGAGGGAATGACCTTGCTTTGTGCTGCCTGATTGACGCTAGAGGAGGAAGACTGGGTAGACAATCTGTTGCGAAATACTGACTTGTCATCTCTTGACCTTTTGGGAATGTGTTCAGCCAAAAAGGTTTAAAAAACAAAGATTGTTCTTCTGAGTCTACGTAAAGGAAGAAGTGCTGGTGTGCAGTTAGGATTAGTTACCATATGTTTAAGAAGAAAAAGGAAAAATAAACCAAATTTGGTTGAAATAACATTTATATAGCATATGTATTTCTTATTCAGAAGTAGGCTATCCTTGGGAGACCATGGTAAGAAATAGTTGAGCTCTCGCATGGAGTCTAGAAGCTATAACCATACCAATCTGCACCTCAGAAACAGGCACCTGACACTGCTTAGGGAAGAAGCATGTGTGAGCAGAAGGGGCTTTGCTCAGTAATGTTTTGTTGGACGTTTGTGGGTCTAGGAAAGATAGACACAAAAGATGAGAGAAAGGGGCAAAAAGGCAGCAGGAGGGAGAGCTTAAACTTTTGGAGCGTGGCCCATACAAAAGCTTAGAGTATGAACCTATGCCTCTAATTGACTCTTAGGGGCAAAAAATGCTGAGTAAGTCTGTTTTGCTCTGTCAGACTGCATTTTTTTCTGCGGCTGCAGACAACGCCAGAGAATCTTGTGTGAGGAGGTTGTCAGTCAACCCCTATTGGGGACTACTGGTTTAGGCGAGATTTCTATATATGGGGTTGAAGGCTCACTTTTAACACTGTGCGGATGAAAACAAATTTCTTGTCTGTATTTGGTGAAGTCGTGTTGTTCAGTCACTATGGGATGCATTAGGAAAACATGGACGTTTTTGCTCAATTCCGGGGAGAGCTCTGTTCCAGCAGTTCTAGCCTTTTTGCTCTCAGTCTCTGTCCGGATGCATCTATTGGATTTGTAAGATGGCAAAAATAATCATGGGCTTTTGCATTTCCATAGCTGCTCTTTCACGGTTCTGTGCAGAGAATGCCATGAAAAATCTTGTTTAAATTTGTATTTTTGAAGATATTTTCTGGAAGGCTGGAAAGCAGATAATTCTTGTGCCCAGCATAGTGCTGTCTCCCCTTGTGGGCACTTGAATATACTTCTGAGATCTAGAAAACTCTGGATGATTGTACAGTGGTGTCTGAACTCTTTTTCTGGGGTGGGGGGCCACAACACCAATCCATCCCTGTGCAATGTATTCTCCTCACCCCATGCCAATTATAGAATATGTGAGCTTACCAATGTGGTTATCACTGTGTTTAAGTTAGAAGGTTTTTATTTTTTGAAACTATTACAAGAGGATCTTTCAGGATTTCCCAAGGCTATTCGTTCAAACATCTTGTGTATTTGAAAATGTTATCAATGTGGTTTAAATAAAGGAACAGAGTGCCTTAGCAGTGTAACACATTCTACCTTCATGTCAGAAATACCTTGTCAGCTAATACTGAAGTTAGTCCTTGTGTCATGATCTGATTTGCATATTTAAGTGATAAGTTATCTAACTGTCACATTATGCTTATGAAAAGGTATGAAGTTAAGTGCATGCTGTAGCTCTGCTCAAAGCAACCTCCACTTCAGCACAAGCAGTGGAATTTTGTCACTTGGCTGAAGGTGTTAAACCTTACAGTACTTATGCACCACGGTGAATTCATTTCCTGAGAGTTATAGGTATGCCTGGTGGCCAGTTTGTCAAAGGATGTGTCTTTTTAATTAATCTTGCGAAAGGTAGTCTGTCCCGATCTGTACTTAATGTTCTTAACAAACACCACTGACTTAAAACTTTCCATATTTAGTTTAAATTAATTAAAACAGATCCATGGCTATTTTTTAAGAAATAAGTTGGTGATCACTTTGTCATAGAGGCTGTTGTGTTTAATTTTTACTATTCAGGGAAAGAAATCTCTGAAAATGGAATTAAGCTTGCATGTAAGTATCAGTCATTTAGGTGTGTAAAAGAAATACAATGAGGATGATGGCTTCATTCAGTTATTGTTATGCTTGAGGGGGAAAAAAAATCTCTAAACATGTAAAAATTGGAAATGAATGAGTAGAAATGACCAAGCAGGAACACTGCACAGTAGAAATTCCATTATGGATGAAAAGCACATTAAAAAAAATAAAATTAGCTTAACTTGTTAGGAGACTACTGTCATTAAATTGCTAATCATATAGTTATTGTACTGTTTTATAGAATACTGGCATAAACAGTGGAATTGGGCTGTTTTCTTAGTGTGTGGGAAGTTTTACACACTCCATGAAAATAAATAAACCCATGGTAATTCTTGCCTTCCTCTAGAAACAAAGATGTCTGCCTACTAAGGGCAACAGCTTAGGTTGGGATGGCCTAAGGAGGTCAAGGCTAACATGGTCAGAGGCTAGCCACCTCTTCATCCTGTCTCCCTTGTACAAACCAATGAGTCACTCATTAATCAACTCTAAATTGCTGTTGCTTCAAGTGAATGGCGTTTTAGGGTAAAGCACGGTTGATTTTTATTTGGCTTTAAATGCTCCGCTTTAAATGGTGACAATTCAGGAATCCATTAGTGTGGGTCCCTGCAGGCTAGTGATGTGAACATCTTGGGGCTGTAGCTTTATCAGTCAAGCCAAGTCAGGGCATCCCTGCTCATCAGTCCATGCTTTCAGTGACTAGGTAGCTTCCGTAATTGCAAAACTTTGAACGTTCCAGCAGTAAATGTTGGGAAATGTAAGGCATTACTGCAAATACAGATTGCTTTATCTTGCATGTGCTTTTTTTAACACTTCTGTCCTAGGATTCCTAATAACTTTTTGAAGCTGAATGTCTTTCTGTCCTTTTTTTGTGTCAAAGTACAGTTGCTCATGTTCAGGTTAGGAAAGCAGATGAGAAGGGTTGGTTTTTTTTTCTGTCTTTAGTCTTCTTTTCTCCCCAGAAGCCAAACTGTGCCAGAGGACTGATGCTTTGAAAGAGAAGTGTGATCTTCTTATGTAGCTGCTAATTCCTTGCTCATTTTTATTATTCTTTGTGCTGTCATCTTTGTAGTAACTTTGCTTTGCTACTGCTTGGGTTATTTTCTCATGCTTGTGATGTTTAAGAAAAGTAATGAAATAATCACTTGTAATAGAAATCCTTCTTTTTGTGTGTAGGAAACTCACAAATGGGTGCTACCATAGTAGATGCATTGGATACTCTTTATATCATGGGGCTTCACGATGAATTCAGAGAAGGACAAGAGTGGATTGACAAAAATCTTGATTTCAGTGTGGTGAGTAGAGCTTGCCCTAATATTTCTCTAGTCCTTTTCGCAGTGGTGTTCTTGGGGGGAGATAGAAGAGGTCTTTCAGCTGGAATTTAAAAAACTTACAATTCAAAGTATCAGAAGTTCAGATGTAAGCTTTAGGGAAGTTCTCTGTGATTGTAACTTTATTTTGAAAAAAACAAAAACAAAACAACAAAACCACCACTCCACCCCTTTCACACTTTAATTATAAGTAAAGATAGATCTGTGTATTGTATTTTCAAAGTATGAATTATAATTGGATAATGGAAGAAAGGGAAAGTGGTCAGTGAGAACTAACAGGACAGCAGAAATGAAGGCAGAAAGATGAGGCTTTACTAGCTGATAGTAGTTGGAAATAACTGAGCTGTGAAAGACAATTTCCCCTCAAACCATGGTTGCTTAACAATAAATTACTTAACAATACAATCTCTTCTTCTTCCATGTCCTTAAGATGTTTTAACATGAAGAATGCCACTTGAGTCGTCGTAGTTTGCCTACAGGTTCTGAATCTATCACAAGAATTTCCCAGCTGGTCATACAGCATCTGACATTCTTCATGTGTGCAGAGTTTGGAAGCGTTAAATGGAAGAAATGGCTCTATTTTATCCTTGCTGATTAGTGTTCTTATTACTAATTTTGGGACTGTCACAGACTCTGTGACGGAATTTGTATTTCAATCCTTGGACTTGCCCTATGGTTCCAAAAATAATTTTTCATTCAGTAATGCACAAAATGAAATGTAGGTATACAGTCAGAATTGAGCAGATGCTTACTGTTGTTTTTATATTATATCCTACATTTCAGAAATTATTTGTTTGGGGTTTTTCCTTTTGTTTTATACATTGACTGTCTGGCAAACATTGAAGAAGTTCTACTCTGCTTTTTTCAGTTAGTGCCAGATAATTATTCAGTCTAAAACTGAAGACCCTAAATATATCAGAGACAGTGTAGACATAATGGTCCTGTTATGAGGGTGAACTAAATTACTTCCGTAACTTTTGTCTGATCTGAGGTAATCTCAATATAAATTTGCCAAATTAATCTAGGGTTTGGGTGGAAGAAATATACATGACCCACTGGGGTTCAATTACAGCTTGCTATGTATCAAAAAACATTTCTGAAAGTTAATGAGTTGTGTTATATGTTGTCTTATATATTGTCTTACATACACACCAGACTTGAGTAATTTCCTTATATGGTTTGAAGTTTATAAATAAATACATAAATTTGTTCCTCTTCGATTCTTTTACTGGGAAATAGAAATAATTGGTTTCACTCTACACTATACCATTGCTTGTGTGATTCATGACTTTAATAAGTATTAAGTGGAATCGTATGCTGCATTATTGATATTTTTCTTATATCACCTGTATGTGAATAAAAATAAGTCTTTTACTAAAAACCTATATCTGGGAGTATTTCAAACTTTAGACATTTAATCATCAGTGCTATTCGAGGAAATCTTTAAAGTATTCATATAATCTTTCTGAAATAAGTAATATGTGCAAAATGCCTTTATTTTGGATACAAGCAAAATGCACACGATACAACCGCAGATGCCATAGAAATAGTGTGAAAGGAAAGACATGCCTATAAATATCATTTCAACTGTGTGCTGATTGGTGGGTCAACTTGTACAGTGTACGTTGTAGTGACTTTTCTGGATAAAAGGAAAAGTCTCCTTTATCTCAAAATCTTTTAATAAAACTACATTTCTGTGTCTAATGGGTTGAATGAAGAGAAGTTTAGGGGGGAGACAGATAGGGTGTATGCAGGCAAAAGAGTGAATGGGGTGCAGAGGGAGGCAGAAAGATGTTAAAACTATCTAGTTCCTCTTAATTTTTCAGTGGGTTAAATGAGTCAAAAGATACTGGTGAATTTAGCCCAAGGATACTAATGTGGAGGAAGGCAGTAAAATAGTTTATTCTCTTGAGTTTCTCAGTGGTCTTGCAGTACTTGTTGTCATAACATTAAAAACATAAAGGCTATTCCTAGACAGAGACTATATTAAAATGGAGCTCTGAATTTGAGATTGCACATTGATAATTCAGGTTAAGAAAGCACATTACAGGAATTCTCTATTTTTCTACTTTATCCTGTAAACCCAGAAGACTTGGTGTTATGCTTAAACATAAGAGAAAAGATGCTGAATTATGGAAATGTACAGTCCTTGCCTTCTTTCCCACCATCCCCAAACAACATTAATTGCACATTGTGGTGATAATATGATTAGAGAGCAGGAGAAAAACTAATTTGATTTTTAAAAATCAGTTGAAGCTGTAACTAGAATTATCACTTGGTGTTGTGAAGATGTGCCCAGGAATTTCACTATGGATCTAGATACTGAAACAGTACAAACTCCTGCATGCAGATTGGTTTAGGGTATGTACTTGCCTCAGCCTTGATGATTTTTTTTCTTCTTTGATTAGGGAGTTGGTTAATTATTTATTCTTTCTTCCTGTTCTAGAATTCCGAAGTGTCTGTTTTTGAGGTCAACATTCGCTTCATTGGCGGTCTTCTAGCAGCATACTACCTTTCAGGACAAGAGGTAAGGAGACTGGAAGGTGTCTGTGAAATTTAATGTATTCTAGCAAATGTTGCATATGAAGAATTTTCTAGAATATTGTTTTTTCAGTAAACTAATTTTACAGCAGTAAGTTGCCTAAAGTAACCAACTTAGAGTATGGAATCTTTAAAGCTTGTTTCTGTGGAGGTCTTGGCCAATTTAGGACCCTCTGTTAGTGCTTTGAAATGCTGCTTTTATCAAGATGTTTTCAAAAGGTATCCACTCAAGTAAACATCAGCCTGAAATGTCAAGTCACTAGCTTCTCATGCCAACAATAACTTGTTTTGATATTCTGTAACTCCATGAAGGTAGAAATAATAGTTTTGTCACTTGTCCTGCAAGGCTGTAGATTTGCTTCACAAAAGCGCTACAAAATCTTCTTACCATTTTCTCAGTGACAAACTGAGAAGTTTCAAGCCAGTTTTGTCCCACGTTTGAAACTTCTATTAGAAAAGATTGGAGACTTATACTTCTGAGTGCTTATGCAAAGACATGCTTAGATTGAAAGGATGCATATACCCAAAGACTTGGAACCGTGGACTTCTTTGGTCTAGCAGTAACATTGCTGTGACCTCTCACTTCACATACTCTTAACAAGGCTGGAGCCTGACCCAACCTACAGACTAAGTCATAGCTCTTATCTCACGTCTTACCAGCTACCTGTCTTTTGATCTATTGCCTATGTGTTTGATTTCTTTGTTTTTGTTTTATTTTTCATGTCCCTTCTGTAGCCCCCTACGTAAAACATTAAGCTTCCAGCCATATCTCATGGCTTAAGGTTTGATACACTTTCAGGTGTTCATATGTATCTTCCTCCTTTGTTTAGGGGAGCACCACATACGTATAAACAAGTTCTCAGGGATTTTAAGCCTGCAGCCCTAAAAATAACCAGGAGAAAACCCCATATTTGTTGGCTCTTTAGGTCTTTGGCATCATCCCAGGATCTGTGAATTTTCTCTTGTAGGAGTGTCTTCTTTTTGGAAGAAGAGCTTAGTGGCAAAGCAAAAACCCAATGTATTTCTTGAAAGAAATTGCTAGTTTATTTTTTGTCAAGTACTACTGCTTCACCTTCTTCGCTGTCCACACTCTCCAAGCTGCCCGTCTGCAGAGGGATCAGCTGCAGGCAGTCCTTTCTGCTACACTGATTCACGTGGTCTGTTATAGGAGGCCCAAAGGAAAGGAGAAGCACATAATTTTGCCCCTCTTTCCTTTAGCAACTGAAGAGCTGACCTTGCATTCGTGACAGTGAGCCTTTTTCTGCCTCCAGAATCTGTCAGGCTTAGGTCTTCCATCAGTTTCCTCATAGCTCAGTAAGGATTTTACCCTCAGGGAGTGATCCTATTCCCCAGTGTTACAAGTCAGCCTTTTAAATTGGTTGCTGTGGCACCTCTTCAGGAAGACAGTCTTTGTAGCAGCTACCACTTGTGTTAGAGTAGTGGTGAAATTCAAGCCCTGTTAGTTTACACTTCTGTCCTAACAAAAGAAGGCATAAAAATCACTGAATGATCAACCCAAATATTAACTTGAGGCAGCTTCTGAACTTCATCTAGGTCAGCACTATTAACCTACCAGTTTTCTTTTGAAGGCCCCCAGAACAGAAGCTATCTTTTGCTGTCAGACATAAGCAAGGAAAAATGTTGGTGTCTTTATTTCTGTAGCAAAGAAGTTTCATGGAGAGCAGTCTGAGCTGCATGTGCTTTCCAACTTGTGCCAAGGAGCAGCTGAAGTAGCTAAGCTGGAACCGTTAGAAGTAGTCATGGTAGTTCCTACTGTAGTGCAAGTGACCTCAGCAGCAAGTTGAAGGATTCTTCCTTTCCAGAAATCTGTATTTCTGTTGCTTGGAGCTCAGATCACGTTAAGTACTATGTGATCACTGAAGCCTTCAAGCATTGAGTAGAGCAGGCCCACATCATCTTTTCAGCTAGGAACATTGATCCTGTCTCTGGATAACTTACTCAAACTGGAGCATGCTCCTTGGAGTCATCTACCGTGAATATGAAAATCCTCAGAGAAAGAGCAAAGATCACGCATCAGTAGCTGGATTGTTTGTATAGATCCAGACCTGTGCACAAGCCCCTTAACAAGAACTTTTTTGGCCCAATATGCAGATGGGTGCAGCCAAACACTGCCAAAACACATGCTTCGCCTGCATTTTTAAAGCTGAGTATTCCGTTTCCTTTCAGCTGTTTCTAACCACTTGGTGAGCCAGAACAAGCTCCTTTTGCTTAAAGAGTTTTCATCAACACATTTTATTTCCTTCCTTCTTAGAAATCTTTTACCCTCTGTCTTTCCTAAATTTTGGCCACTGGGCTGACTCTTTTGTTTTTAAAAATATTTTTATGGCATCAGTCTCTCCAATGGACTTTAAATGCTTCATGACTTGTGGTAGAAGATTATTCCTGTGAAGTGTTCATATGCATTATCTTTATTTTCCAAAAGAAGAACTCCTAAAAAAGTGTTCAGACTGCATTTCTTTCAAAATAGTGTGGCAGATAGGACTGCTTCTGGTACCTGAGAGACTACTTCATTTGCCAAGTTGGATGGTTTCTTGGCAATTTGTTGGTGTGGATAAGACAAGCAAGGGAACTTGAGGTTTTCCAGTAATTTCAGTAATTTCAGTTTTCAGAGCCCAGGAGAGAGGCACCTGCCTCTGAGAACTCCTTGGAGTTGGAAACAGGTTTGTTTGAGATGTGATTTCCAATCTGGTCTTCTCTCTTCTGTTCCCAAGAAGGGAAGGTATTCCTTAGCTCAGGATTGGGGCATGCTTAATTTCTTCTTTTTACTGCATTCAGACATCTGAGGAGACACTTCCTAGGCTTGCCTGTCTTAGCAGTGGCTGATCCCAAGTGTTTGGATGTTTTCCCTGATCAGGTTGTGAACGTGCACGTGGGCTTATGCCTCTAAGGGAGTCTCTATCTACTGGTAGGTATCCTCCCTTTGTTCATCAAGCTATCATTTACTTGCTTGTATTCCCTTCCCACACCTTCTTGATATTCCAATCCTCATCTCCCTTCCTCCAAGCCTCTACTTCTCTTAAGACTGTTGCTAGATACTGGTTTAGAAGGTTTTCATACTAATTTCCATACTTTTGCGTGTCTTGTCTGATGTATTGAAAAATAGGTCCAATACAATGAACAGGTTGCTTGGAATTAATTCTGGTTTTCCCCTTTTAATTTATATAAATTCTGCTTAGGTCTGCAACAAGAGTTACTGCTGTTTGGTGACAGGTATAAAAGCCGTTCTTATTTCGACTCCTATCACTTAGTGCTGTTAAAGGTGCTAGAATGACAACCATAAAAGAAAGTGTCCAAGACTCAGCATCAGCTGTGGAAGTTCAATCATTTTTAAGTGACCACATTTGGAGAATTTGATAGTCAGCATGGTTTATCTATATGCTTTTGCCCTTTGTATGGAGAGGGTAATTGTGCTTGATAGGATTTTATCTGATTATGAGTCATAATGGTAGATATTGATCATAGTTTTTAAGTACAGCTGGCTATTAATTTAGATAAAATTGTCCTGTTTAAGGCTCTTAGTGGAAACATGTTAGTTTTGAAAAATTATTTAGCATGTCTAGTGGCACGACTCTGGTCTCCATGCTATATTTTAGCTGCCATGTTACTGGTATTACTGAGAGGAACATAACTGTGATCATGGTTTTAATGGTACTGGTTACAGTTGATGGTAAAACTTTAAACCTTTCATACTAAGATTGTGGGTATTGCTGTCCCTTCTTTCAGTAAGAGTTCCCTCTTACTCACTGCAGTGGATGGGGGAATAATGAAATATCTCTCCCTTACAACCAAAAAAAAGCCACTGTTTTTAGCAACTGACAACTTGGCTTAAAATGCTGTAGGCTTGTCCTGTCCAGTGCTGAGTCACAGGCCTTTCTTTGTGAAACATGACACTTGTGAATTTTTTAACAGCTCAGCCTTTTACATGTGGGAATTTCTGCTGGACTTTCTTGAGTGATGAGCATGTAAAGCTAAAGTTTGAGGAGGATGCGTTTTCATGTCCCTTTGGCCAAATGTCTTGGTTGTCTTGCCTCACTCTATCTTTCTGTTGATGTAGAGAGATAAAATTGTTTCTCTGTCTAACGGGCAGTTCTCCTGATTTGGGGAAAATCACCATCTTTCTCCATTTTTCCATGTCAGAATGCCTTTTGAATAGAAGAAAATCAAGGTATGCCTGTGAAACTTGACACAGTGGAAAATCTGCCCATGCATTCTGTTTCAGTCTTCTCAAGTTGAAACAACACTAAGGTTTATCTGGTGGCAGGGGTAGTAGGTCTGCAATCTGGGAGGCCCTTGTTTAAATCCTCTGCACAATAACTTTTTCCTGGCTGATCATGGACAGGCCATCTGGTGTCTGACTAGGTGTATATTATCAGATCTAAGAGTGTGCCTTCTTTGTCTCAGCTCCTACGTAGGAATGAGGTCCCAATCTGTCATTGCTTTTGAGATTCTTGGGGTTTTTTTTTGAAGCTTTGAGCCTGTGGCTTTTCTCCAAAGTACATTATTGAAATATATAATGAATATATGCTAAAATAGTGGAATATAGAATCATAGAATGGTTGGGATGGAAGGTTTAAACCTTGGGTTTAAAGATCATCTAGTCCACCCCCCCTGCCATGGGCAGGGACATCTTTCACTAGATCAGATTCCTCAAAGCCCTGTCTGAGCTGACTTTGAACACTTCCAAGGATGGGGCATCCACAACTTCTCTGGGCAACCTGCTCCAGGGTCTCACCACCCTCATCGTAAAAAAACTTATTCCTTATATCCAGTCTAAACCTACCCTCTTTCAGTCTTAAAACCATTGCCCCTTCTCTGGTCGCTACAGGCCGTGGTAAAAAGCCTCTCTCCATCTTTCTTTATAAGCCCCCTTTATATATTGAAAGGCCACTATAAGGTTTCCCCAGAGCCTTCTCTTCTCCAAGCTTGAACAATCCCAACTCTCTCAGCCTTTCCTCATAGGAGAGG